ATTCATCGGCGCCCCGAGGGCGCCGCCGAGATCGTCGGCGCGCGCCCGGTTGATGCCGTGTTTCGGCCTCTCGAAAAAAACGATGTAGACCAACCAGTGCCAGTGCCAGGGCCACGGCTTAAAGATGTCCAGATAGCGCACCCCCTCGGATAATATCGAAGCGAATCCAAAACCCATGAACCAATCCGCCACGACTTGAAACAATTCCCTCAACAGCGTCACGCAGCATCTCCGCAGAGGCCAATGACGCCGTTGGACGCCCCACTTCCCGCAGCACAGGCATCTGGACTTGCCGGGGCGAGCTTGGGGGCGCATGTTCATGGTCCAGAGCGCGAAAGATAAAGCACTCATCGTCAGCCTCAGGCCGCGCGGGGTGAGCCCGCGACGCAGCATCAACTCTTTCAAGAGACTCGCGCAAATACTACTGCCACGCATAAAATCGCGCTGGTCACCGGGGGCAAAACGCTCGAGAGGTCGCCGAATGGAATAGCCCACGGCAGCCGTCAACAGCTTGATGCCCATGTTGCGGATGCCCCAAATCGCAAGCGCAAGCGCCTGCGCGAGTATCCGACGCCTCTTCGCGCGTCGGGGGGAAGGCTTGCAGCGCGAGGCTCTCTGGCGGCAGCGAAGAGTTGCCGCGGGGCATCCACGCAAGAACATCGCGTACAAGTGCCCAGAGGACAGGGCGACCCAGGCAGCTGAGCGCAAACGACCACATCCGGGGGCCGAACAACTAACGCGCCCAGCAACCCTCTCCATGGCAGACACGGGCGGCGGCGGGCAATTATCGAAGCGCGCGGGGTTCGCGCATCGGCCGGCCTAATTGGCGGCGGCGTTGGCGGGCTGCGGTTTGCGCGCGAAGACAATATCCGAATGGCGACGCAGAGCCCCCGCGCGCTCCCGGCCATCGGCTGTTCCGTCGCCGTCAGAAAAATACTGCGCGAAGAATGAACCGTCCGGAAAATGGAGCCCGAAATCGAGCGCGCCGTTCAGTCGCATGCAGCCGCTGGCGAAGCCGAGAGCGGGGCCCCAAATTGGGGCAGTCGAACTTGCAGCGCAGCGCGGCCAAGATCAACAACGCGAGATTCTACAGCGCTCGCCCATCTCCGAAGCGAAGCTGGGCGGGGCAAACAGACTTGGTGACCCAGAAATGCGATGGAGTCAGAAACGGCCTCGCGCGAACCAAGGCGCAGTTCAGCATCGGCGCATTCCTGTCGTCAAATCGTGCGAGCGCGAGCTCGGGCAAGAGGATGCAACGTGCGAGGGTCCAGAGGACTCTTGAATGCGAGCTGGTTGCGAGCGGCCCTCGAGGCCTCCTGCGTCATGCGCATCTATCTCTGCAATCGTCTTTGCGGGGACATCCTCGGTGAGGTAGCAGCTTTTGAGCCGGCGTGCCCACTGGGGGCCGACTTTCTACAGAAAACAATGGCTTGGCAATCTGCTGAGGCATCGGGCGCAGGCTCGGGTCGACAATCCTGCGCAGCTGGAACGAAGCGAAATGCGCAGGGAGGCGCGGTCGCTGATCTTGCCTTTCGAGCGGTCTCCCTGGTTGCCAATCGCGCGGGCAACTGGATGCGCTCGCGCAATCATCCAGCCAGTCCACGACCGCCAGAAGCGGCCGACAGGAGCAGACCCATCGGCGCGCTTGCTAAATTTAGCGGCAGCGGCAGGAGATCTCTATAACATTGCCAAGGGTGAGCAACCACCGCGGCGCTCGCGCGCGCAGTGGTTGCTGATTTCTGTCGGCCGCAAGCGGCTGCGACTAGCACGGGCGTCTCCTTGTGCGCAGAATTAAAAGCCACCAATAACAACCTTTAAACCGCCCTCCAGATTAGCTTCGGAGACTCAACTCGGCCCCTGGAAATCCGATCGCGCGCGCCCCTCACTTGTCCCGAGGAGGAATCGCAAGCTCTACCATTTCAATGAAGCGGCTTTGCTTTTCCGTTGGCAAGCGCAGTTCTTGTGACGCAGTCAGAGATGGGAGCAGAGCGGGGGTCTTGGGGCCCAGGAGAAAGGGTAGGAACGGAATTCCCACTTCGCAGGGCCTCAGGGGCGACCATGGCGACAGCCCCGCGGACGTGGCCGCCGCGATCGTCGCCGCAGATGCCCGAGCACATAGAAACCACATTGAGAGTTCTCCGCAGGAAACGCGTTTGCTAATACTAATTTTGATGCACATCCTGGAACGTAGACACAGAGGATCCAGGGCGAAGCCTCTGCTGCGCTAGATTCTCAGCAGCGCGAGCCCCGTCGTGCTGCAAAAAGCGCCGGCGCATTCCGCGTCGCGAAGCTGAGCCCGTCTCCCGCGACTTTGCAGCGTTGGAACCGCAGCGGCTAGCGCGGCGCCAGCGACGCGAAGTTGCTAAAGATGCCACTCTGGCTCCGCTCGGACGAAAAAGTAGCGTCGGTGAGGTCGTTCTTGGCCCGGCCAAGCTTGCGGATGGTTGCCAATATCCACAGTGCCTCAGCCTCGTCGCGCCCGGGCTCGGGCTCGATCTTGCGCGGCGCGCCCCGGCCCGCAGACAAACAAACACGATCGCGATCGGAAAACAATTTACGGCCCAGGGGGTGGTTCTGCAGCGCGACATCCGCCCTGCGACTATGGACCTCGAGCATGATCTGCCGATGATTTCAATCGCCGGGAATGTAGTGACACACGTCTCCACCAGTCGAGATGGAAGGTACTTGAAACTGGCGACAGGCACCATCCTGGCCACAAAGACGACTGAGGGCTTCGCCAGCACGGCGCGCCGCAAGGCCGGCAGCACCCAGGAACTAGATAACGAACTGCTTGGCAAGCGGGCCTGCGGAGGTGAGCTCGTGCTCGTCAGCAGCGACGCCCACATCCTCCATCCACTCCGCGGTCTTGCCCAAGACTGAGTTGCGCGCAACGGGCTGGCCTACGCTGATACGGATTATGGCGCCATCGGAGTCGCGGTCGCACTGCGAAGACAAGAGCTGGATCGGCCTGTGGGACTGGTAGTTCGCGATGATGAGCGCCTCCTTCAAGGCTTTGACCTGCTCAGCCATCTTGGCCAGCAGCTCATCATGAGAAGACAGACGGTCAGCTTGCTCACCAAGTTGGGCGTCGATGCCGTAGAAGCGGGAAATCAGTTCACGCCGAAGGTCATTAATCTTAGGAGCAAAAGCAGCGGTGATTTGTTCGTCGGGCTTCTTAAGTCAGTCTGGCACTGGGCGAGGCACCTGTTGAAGTTCGCGGTAAACGCATCGGTGAAGGACTTCGGCTCGGACTGCACGGTGGCTTTGACCATCTGGCCAACGACATCATCGAACTGCTTCCGCATATGCTTGAGCTCCTTCCGGGGAATACCCGCGCACGCGCTGCGGATCTGGTCGTCGGACATCAGCTCGAACTCGGAGTCTCCGTCATCCATGCGCAAGCAATCGAGAGGGCGACTGGAAGCAGCAGCGCCTTCATCGCCAGCGCGAGCGGGAGCAGCACGAGGACGGCGAGCACCCTTGGGGCCATCTTTGCGGACTTGTTGGGAGTGTCAGAATTGTCGTGCGTGGACATCGCGATGGCATTAGACACAGCAAAAATGGGAACCACTTGCGTTTACCAACACTGCGAAGTAGAGGGAAAACGAAGGAGACGTGACCGCCAGAAAGCTCGCCACGACGTGCTAGCGACGGCCAACTGTGTTTGGCCTCGGGCTAGAAATCTCCGCGGAAACAAGCATCTGGAGCCAAAATGGCTACGGAAGGGGAAGAATATGAGAAGAAGGAGGTGGTGGTGGTGGTCACTGCATAAGCGAAACAGAATCCCGAGCAGAGAAACACGCACCACGACCACGACGACGCCGACGACGACGACGACGGAGACGAGGCGCGCAAACGATCCGCACCGAAGCACGGATTTGGGAAAGGGCCCACCCTGCAGGTTCGGTTAAACAGCACATCGTTGAGCGGTGCTGCAGCCTCCCCTGAGCACAGGCCCCCCCAGAGCGTCAGCCAGACAAGTCGGGTTTGCACCCTCATGCCTTGCTGGACTCTGGGCGCGTTTCGGCACCCTCTCCCCCAACCTCGTCAGGGCCACCGACAAGGGAGAGGGCGGCGGTGGCCGACGCGTCCCCGAGCTAAGAAGCTCAAAGCGCCGCGGCTCAGAGAGCCGGGAAGACAGACAGACAGACAGACGGACGGACAGCCAGGCGGCGTGCAATGCCTGGCAAGCCAAGTGGGTGGTCACTGCATAAGGGAGGAAAACGAAAATGGTTGTGAGGAGGAGGGGGAGGTTGGTTGAGAGTAGGAGAAGAACATCGAACGAAAAGTGCCATGATTTACAACATGTTACTTTGCCTCGAGCGATCCCCACCTGAGAACGCCAGGCGGGATCCCCAGGTAGCACCAGGACCCTTGGGGCCTGGCGGCCGCGGTACGCAGTCGTGATTCGTCGAAAACGCGAGGAGGGATGCCCAGGGAGCGCTGGGCGCGGTATGCAGGGTGTGGGTAGCGTGTCGGGAGCTCTGCCCCAACCTGTCGAACTGGGGGCCGTACCGCAGGTCGGCTACACGGAAGAGCGACCCTGGGCAAGAGTGACCTCTGGTGTGTGGCCTCAGGAGGAGGGGCGCTGGGGGGAACAAGCCTGGGCGCGCAAGCCGCTGCTATCGCACCGCGCTCAGCGACCAGAAGGCCCATGTGGGCCCGGACCGAGAGGTCGCCCCGGCGAAACGTCACTTTTGCGTGCGCTCGAGCTGGAGATCAGAGCACGTCCCCCAGGGCCCCCGCGGACAGGAGAGCCCCGAATCGAATCGATACATCGGATCGGCGATCGACATGATTCGGATTTGCGGAAAATCTGCAACCGAGTGGGGAGAATTCGGATCGGCGGAAATCGGCAGGCAAGTCGGCCTCCGACGGGACATCGGCGTCCAAATTGGGATCCGAAGCCGAATCGAATCGGGATCGGGAACCATCGAACACGAAGCGAGTGGGAGGAGTCGAGATAAGCACTGCCCTGGGGACCCAGCGGGGTGACCTGCCTCCCACTCGAGGCCCCAGCAGTCGGCCTCGTCGGCTCGACCGCGGGGCCCACGCAGCGGCGGCGGCTCCTGCGGGCCCCGGCCCCGCGCGCCCGCCGGCCACGCCTCGGCCTGGCGGCCCTCGCCCCCCCAGGCGCTCCAGCAGGGCCAGCAGTACCACGCGCCCTCGTGCAGGCCGCCCTCGCCAGCGGGCTCCAGCCTTGCGAGGAGGAAGGGGGGAAAGCACCAGCATATGAGCACACACTCTCGGACGGCCGCGCAGGCTTCTGCAGATCGGCGCCGGGCCCCTTGGCGGCGCCTCCGGCGTCGCCGCTGGCGCGCGCCACGCGCCTGTGAGGGGGGCCCAGTGCCGCTCCAAGATCTCCGCGCGGAGCTCCGAAAATTTGTGCTTATGCAGCCTCTTCTTAGTCTTCTTCTTCTTCGAGGCCTGCCGCAGCCGTCGCAGAAATGCTCATCCCGCGGCGGGTCGCCCGCGCTCCCGGGCTCGCACCCGGGAGCCTTGGGCCCCAGCGACAGCCGCCCCGTGCCGACGTCCCCCTCGAGCTGCTCGCAGGGCGCACCCGTCGGCCCTGCCGGGGGGGGGCCCAGCTCGAGGCCCTCGCAGGCGGGCGCCAGGCCGACCTTGACCACCTGGTCGTGGGTCAGGGCTCCGCTGTACAGCAGCAAGGGCGCGACCTCACCGTACAGCGACGCGTCGTAGGCGTGGGTGTACATCCTCGAAGACCGGGCCCACGGGTCCAGGCTGGGCGGCATTTCCCGCCACGGCAGCGTGCCGGAGCCGACGCACTCCATGTCGGCGAACAGCGCCACCTGAGCGAGAGCGGAAGCGGCATTTGCGAACGAAGACGCGGCGACCTCACGCGGCGGTTGCTTACGCAAACCACTGGCGCGGCATTCGGCCATGATTTTTTATTCCCTACCTAGGCTCTGCCTAGAAGGGTTCTTACTCTCTAGCTTAAAGGGGCCGGGCAGTGAAAAGCGCCCCGGGCGGTTCCCCCAGTCCCCTGGGAGCGGTTCCCCCAGTCCCCTGGGAGCTTTAGCTTTAGCTTTAGCTTTAGCTTTAGCTTTAGCTTAGCTTTAGCTTAGCTTTAGCTTAGCTGTAGCTTTAGCTTAGCGTTTCGCTTAGCTGTTCGCTTAGCGTTTAGCATAGCTTTAGCTTAGCTTTAACTTAACTTTAGCTTAGCTTGAGCTTAGCTTTAGCTTAGCTTTAGCTTAGCTTTAGTTTAGCTTGAGCTTATCTTTAGCTTAGCTGTAGCTTAGCTTTAGCTTAGCTGTTGCTCAGCTTTAGCTTAGCTTTAGCTTAGCTTTAGCTCACCTTTAGCTTAGCTTTAGCTTAGCTTTAGCTTAGCTGTATCTTAGCTTTAGCTTAGCTGTGGCTTAGCTTTAGCTTAGCTTTAGCTTAGCTTTAGCTTAGTTTTAGCTTAGCGTTACTGTTAATACTAATGCTGCTTTCCTAGGGGTTCCAACTCCTAGGTAGGGTCGCACTGGGATAATATAATCATCCACTGCGTCTCGGATGTTTGGACCAACTTCCGTAGAAAACCGAGACCCAATGGATGACTTTAATCTGGCCTCTCGCGAGGCCAGATTTGTATCCACCTACTATATGCACTCGGTCTCGGGTTTTCGGCACTCCTTCTCTACAAAGACGGCTTCTGCCACCTTCTGCCTACCGAGGAGGTGGTGTCAAACTCTCTACCTCTGGAAAGCGTGAGGCCTTTTCTGGAATGCACCGTGTTTGCGCGAGGTCTACCCTGTTTCTTCTCGTACGCGCACCTGGCCGCCGGCCCCCCGCGTGGCCGCCAACACGTGCCAGTCGCCGTCGGCCAGCCGCACAGGGGGGCGCGCGGATACGGTCCCGAACTTGCTGTCCGCCTCGGTTGCACAACTTCTTCCCAGTCGGTTGGCACGCCCGAAACCCAAATGTCCGACGACATGGTTTTTCAATGCGGGGACCGCGAAAACGGATCCGGGGGAAAGATTAACTCAGAGTTGCGGGTCGGGACCTCTGGGGCCGCGCATTGAAGAAAACCGTTTCGTCGGACGCCTGGGAGTGGGAACGAGCAAAAATGGGGACGATGCGGTCCAAAACTGGCCAGCAGCCGCTGAGGGGCAGGCCACTCTTGCCCCAAGCAGGCGCTGCGAACCTGAGGGCGAGTCCTGCCCAGAGATCCCCCACGGCGCCCAAAAGAGGCCTCCAAGATGGCCTCAGGACTGCCCAAGAGGCCCCCAAGACGGCCCCAAGAGGGCACAAAGACGACCCAAGAGGCCTCGATGTCTTCGTTTTCCAGCTAGCAGGCCTCTGGACGTCCCGATCCTTTCCTCAGGCCCCGCAGCTTTTCGCCCCGAATGGTTCTTGATGGCTCCGGGGCCCAGCGAGGGCACCCAGAGGCCGGAAACGACAGACAACGGCGCCGTCGTGACATTTTCAAGACGTCACATGTCGGGGTGGTTAGAGTGGGCAGGAGCTGCCGTCGGCCTGCATCTCCACTTGCTCCCCCACCATTTCGGCCCCCCTTTAGCCAGTCGCCTCTTGACAGACAGACCCGTTCCCTTCCACCCGTGACCCTCACCTCTGGTCCCTGACCTGGCTCTGCGGGTGCGGGTGGTTTCTGGCTTGCTTCAAGATCCGAGGGGAACCTGAAATAAGAGTACGCATTTCCGTAGATTGACGCTTACTTCACAACGGAGCCGCCGTGCCAACGCAGCGTGCTTTTCAATCCCGACGTGCTTTTCCTTCATCTCGACCTCCGGGGGCTGTTCGGGACCTGGTAGATCGGCGATCGACTCTGGTAAGGCTCTGGGTTGCACACAGGCAGCACCGCCTCCCGGCTGGCCTCAACAGGCCCCTTCGGGACTACCTGGGGGGGCTGTCTGTGCGTAACCCGAAGCCTTTACCAGAGCAACACGGAGGCCCCCGAAGTCCCGACCTTTTCCCCGGGGCTAGTTTTTCATCCCGAGTCATTTTTGATGGTCCTGGGGCCCTGCGAGGGGCCCCGCGGAAGCCGTAAGCGGCCGAAAATCTCACCGAACTACTCGGGGTGCGGCCTGTTGGGGCCAGCCGGAACTGCCAGGGGAGGCTGTCTGTGAGCAGCCTGAAACCTTGCAATGTTCGGGGATGGACAGAACCCCCTTTAGCAAAACGTGGTCTAGTGAAAACGACATCGGGCCCAAACCTGGCGGGCGAAAGCCTGGAAAGTGACGACTACGGCGCCCTCTCGAGAACCGAAAACGGACAATTCACTAATCGACGTGTCAGGGTGGGGGTTCTGTCCACCCCCGACATGTCGGCCCTCCTGTAGCCTGTCGGCAGGCCCGACCCCGACCCAGGCCCTGGAGCGGCGAGGCGGGGATTCATCCATATACACCGCCTGGGAACCGACGTCCTGGTGCCCCAGCGGGCGATGGATATGGATATATTTCGGCCCCCGGGGGCCCGAAAATATCTATATCATCCACCGCCTGCCGAGGCTCCGAAAACTGACCCTCCAGGCGGTTGCCATGTATAAATTCCCGCCTCGGATGGAGCGGCCAGATCCTGGTCCGCAGGGGCAGAGCACCACCCGCGCCCGAGCCGCGGTCCGCCCCGAGCCCGAGGCCGCTCGACTGATCGGCTGGCCGGCCCGACCTTTCTAGAAGAGAAGGAGGAGCACCCCGATATGGCCCAGTGTTGTGAATGCCACGACAATGGACACACTAACAGTCCTATCATTGAATTTAAATGTGTTTCAGATGCCGGAACATGTTCTAAACATACTTTAAACATGTGTTCCCTACCTAGGCTCTGCCTGTAAGGGTTCTTACTTTCTTAGCTTAAAGGGGCCGGGCAGTGCAAATCGCCCCGGGCGGTTCCCCCAGTCCCCTGGGAGCTTTAGCTTTAATTAGCTTTAGCTTTAGCTTAAACTTAGCTTTAGTATAGATTTAGCTTAGCTTTAGCTTCAGCTTAGCTTTAGCTTAAATTTAGCATAGCTTCAGCTTAGCTTCAGCTTAGCTTCAGCTTAGCTTTAGTTTAGCTCCAGCTTAGCTTCAGCTTAGCTTTAGCTTAGCTTTAGCTTGGCTTTACTGTTACTACTAATGCTGCTTTCCTAGGGGCTCCAACTCCTAGGTAGGGTCGCACTGGGATAATTCCACATGTTTAAAACATGGTTAACACATGTTTTGGACATCTGGAAATTATTCGGCAACATGCTTCCTCTCCATTGGTCGTCCTCCACAATGCTAGCGTGGCGGCTCGCCGCCGGGGGTAGCGCGAGGGGGAGGGCCCTCTGCTCTGCGAGCAAGTCCTCGTTGTGGTCAGCGGGCGCGACAGGGCGCGGCGTAGAGTAGTGGCCTCGCTGGGTCGTGAGGTCTTGCCAGCCTCTCCAGCCCAGAGCTGCAACGCTCTCTGAAGTAATAGCACAAAGCGACAGTGCGGAGCTGCTCCTGGCCAGGCAGGGGCCTCCTCACAGGCCGCTCGAAGAGGGAAGAGCACACACACACACACCTCTTTTTGTCAGAGAGGGAGGCGGGAAGCCAGAGGGAGAGGGACGCGCACAGCCGATGACCCGAGCACGACATCTCGGCGGCGAGCGAGGGGGGGAAGTGAGAAGGAGAAGGCCTTCACAGAAGGCGGCGGGGCTTCTCAGAAGCCCTCTGGCCCTGTGGAAATTTTCTGGGTCTTCGGGGACGGCCTAGAAAATTGCCCCGAAGGCCGGTGGACTTCCGAGCCTTCTGAGAAGGCCTTCTCCTTCTCTTTTCCCCCCTCGCTCGCCCCTCGTCGCAGTGCAAATGCCACGGCTGCCGCGCAGGTGGGCACCCTGCGACCGGGGGCGGCACAAGGGCGTCCCCGGCCAGGACGCGGCACGCAGAGGTGCGCCGGAGCTGGGCCGCGCAGTGCCGAGGCACCCGTGCGCCGACAGCGCACGGTTTTTGTTGCGTCGGCGGCTAGGCAGAGTGGCTGCGCTGGCGGAAGATCATTGGTAGGGCATGCGAATGCGAATTCAGCCGCAGTGCGCGGGGGGGAGAGGAGGAACGCCCGGCGATGGCAGGAGGGAGATGGAAGCCGGGCCCGCTCAGGGCGCCGACGGCACGCAAAAAGAGCGGGAGGAGCACGCGGCCAGGAGCACCATGGGCGACAGACCCCGTGCCCCGACGAGGGACGGGGAGGCAGAGAATAGCTAGCAAGTTCCCGCCGTGCTTTTTGTTCGAGATCGCCACTCCTCCTCCTCTCCTCCTCCTCCTCCTCCTCCTCCTCCTCCTCCTCCTCCTCCTCCCCCTCCTCCTCCTCCTCCTCCTCCTCCTCCTCCTCCTCCCTCCTCCTCCTCCTCCTCCTCCTCCTCCTCCTCCTCCTCCTCCGCCTCCCCCTGCGGCCGCCCTGCCCCGCCCTTCCGTTCCCCGACAGGCCTCATCAATTGCCGCGGCGGCCCTGGCGACACGCTATGCCCTGCGAGCGGATGGCGTGCCGCTCCGCTCCGCGGGGCGGGAGGCCGGAAAAACTCAGGACGTTGCCGCTCGGGGACTGCGGCGTGGTGAAAACGCGTCGCCCGAAGCGCGGTGGGCCGGAACTGGCGGCGCCACACGCTAAGCACAAGTTCCCGAACGTAGGGCCAGATATTGATTGGCTGCTCGCCGAGGAAGGTGGCTCGAAGGGTGCGGCCCTGAGAGAGAAGGCAGGGGGCTTCTCAGAAGGCAAGGGACTTCTCGGACGCCCTCTCTGCTTGTAAGGGGGCTTCTTGGAAGCCTCTGGACCCCGCCCAAGAAGGCCCATGCCTGCCCCCCGCCTCCTTGGAAGCCCACCCCCCCACCTCGCGCCACCCACTTGTGCTCGCCGCCAACGATCGGCTGCCTGCTTTCGATCCCGACCGATCGACCTCCCCAACTGGATCGGCGGCCACGACTTCGGCTTACCACGAAGGGAACGGGTCCTGAGGGAAATTGGTCCTGAACCTTGGAGCGTTCCTAAGCAGCCGCATATGAACCCTATGTCCCTGCAGGCCAGATTCCTGAAAGACTGGCGTGGGGTCAGGATATGAAGGACGTCTGCAGCCAAGTGAACCCCAGCGGGGGTACCCCAGAAAAGATTGGACCCGCAGGGGTAGTTTTCGCAAATGGTCGCAAGTTCCCCCCATAACCAATGTGTGTTCCGTCCTGAGCATTTTCTGACGGCTCATGGGCCCAGAAAGGCCCTGGGGGGACAGCCCGAAAACGCCGAACCAAACTCACGCTCGTTTTCCTCAGTACCCCAGTCCGCCGCTGCCATCTCCCAAGACACCCGACGATGTGTTCTTTCCACTCCGTACACGTCCCGACCTCTTCCCCGATGCCAATCCTCACCCCGGATCAATGCCTGACGCTCCTGGGTCCCGAACACGTGGCCCCGGAGGCAAAAACGAAGAACGAGAACGCCTGGCTCCTTGCTCGGTCTCAGGACCCGAAACGATTGGCAAAGTTTCGGGCTGCGCACAGGCAACCTCCGTTTTGGACGCCCGAAATGGGTACGGAAAAAATGGGCACAATGCCCAACAACAAATGTTGTCCCAAACCAACAGCGGCCGCTGTTGGGCAGGCGGCCTTCTGTCTCAAATGGACACAGGCCGCGGCGGCTCGGACACCGAGCCCTGTTGAAAATGAACGAGAACTGCTGTTGGGCATCGCACCCCTTCCTTCCGCACCCATCTCGTTCGTGCCGATCCGTAGTCCCGGCTGGCCTCAACAGTTGTTTGATTCGCGGGTCGAGAGCGCACCTCTTCCGGTCGAAGCTACGCAGGCCGCGCGAAGCTTGAATTAACCAGAGATGGGGGAAGAAAAGGGGGGCGCAGCCTCAGAACGAGGCCGGGAGGAGGCAAAGCCTCGGGATCAGGCGGTGCCGTAACCGACGTACTTGCAAAGGACCAGCTGGCCTCAACAGGCCCCCAGAGCAATCCCGGCTGGCCTCAACAGGCCCCCCGAACAGTCCAGGGCGGTCTCCACACGCTGGCGCCGCCTCCCGCGGCACCCCCGAGGCGCTCCGCGCCCCGAGGCGCCGAGCCCGCTCTGGGCTCGTCGGGGGGCCTGCTTGCTGAGGCCAGCCGGGACTACTCGGGGGGCCTCTTGAGAATCAGCTCGCGTAGCTGATTTTCCCGGCGCCGGAGGCGGCTATGTATCGAGGAACGGGTCCCTCGGTGGGGCCGAAACCAGCTGCACGCAGCAGATTTCGTGACCCCCCCTTTCCCCCCCCCCCCCCCCCTTTCGTTCGGCCCAAGTGATGTGGGGGGGCTGTCTGTGCGCAACTCGAAGCCTTACCAGAGTCGATTCCCCATCCGCCCGACAAGGCCGGGGTCCGGTAAGCTGATCTGTTCGAGGCGGGGTCCCTGGAAGCCCTGGCCCACCCCGGCGAGGGGCCCGGGAGGCCGAAAGCTGCCAAAAGCCACCCGTCGTGCTCCTTTCGCAGCGCGAGCCTGTGGGAAAAAACACTGTGGGAAAAAACACACTGTGTGTTTTTTGTGCTTTTGTGTGTTTTTTGTTCCCACAAGCACTGTTTTTTTGTGTTTTTGTATATTTTTCCCCCACAGTGTGTATGTTTTTCCCCCACTGAGTGTGTTTTTTTCCCACAGAGTGGTTTTTTTTCCCCAAAGTGTGTGTTTTTTCCTACAGTGTGTGTTTTTTCCCACAGTGTGTTTTTTTTGTTGTTCCCACAATGTGTTTTTTCCCACAGTGTGTGTTTTTTTCCAACAATCCGGGAACCGATCCCCGCGCTGGCCGCGGTCCGGTGAGCTCGCCGCCAGCTCCCCGTACTCCAGGTTCCCGTCCGGCCGCAGGCGCAGCTCCACGGCGTTGTGCGTCTGCCCCTGGGACCACCCCACGATGACCTGGGCAGACCAGGCAGGAGACCACCCCACGATGACGATGCCCTGGACGCACGATGACCACCCACGATGACCTGGACCACTCCACGATGGACGGACCACCCACGTGGACGAGACCACCCCACGATGACCACCCCCCCAGGCGGGGGACCACCCCACGATGACCTGGACCACCCCACGATGACCTGGGCAAGCCAGGCAGGAGCTGGGGCGCACAGAGACATACCAGTACTACAGTGAAAACGTATAGTAAAGACGCGTGGTAAGGACGCAAGACCCTTGGAGGCCGAAGTTGAAGTATTCTGGGCGGCAGGCGGCCAAACCCCTAGGGAACCTGAGAAACTGGCCTGCGAATATTGCTAGGGACGGGCCGCAGAGGCTGAGGCAGGCAAGGACCCAAGGATACCCTTGAAAAAGTCGTTTGTCCTTACTATGCGCGTTGATTGTATATGTTCTCTTTGCAGGCGCGGGTCGGACCCGAACATATAGTATACCCATATTGTAGCATGTCCTTTCCTGAGCGGTGTGGCCAGAAAGCGCCAGCCACGACGCATACACTGTAAGATTTCTCGGTGCGCGCGTCGCACATATAGTATAAGTGCGTTGGGGCGACGCCGGGGAGTGATCGTTGGCAGAAGTGACCTTCGATGTGCGGCTGCTCGCGTCATGACGACATCACGACGGACGCCGTTTGCGCCCTTCGGGGGCCGACGCTGGGCCTCGGCGACCGTCAGAGGCGACTCGGGATGCAAAACTGGCCACGGAGAACGAGTGAGGAGGGAGGAGGGAGGAGGGAGGAGGAGAAGGAGGAGAAGGAGGAGGAGGAGGAGGAGGAGGAGGAGGGAGGAGGGAGGATGGAGGAGGGAGGAGGGAGGAGGAGGAGGGGGATGTATATAGGTTTGGCACCCTTCGCTTACAGGCAGGAGTGGCCCAGGGACGTGTGCTGGCGCCAGCTCGTGCTGGTCCGCCGAAGCCCGCTCGAGACGGCGCGGGCGGTGCAACGAGGGCCGACGCGAGCTCGTGCTGCCGGTGAAGCTGGACGGAGTACAGTCGGGGCGCCTCCTCCTCCTCCTCCTCCTCCTCCTCCTCCTCCTCCTCCTTCTCCTCCCCAACCCGAAATTCGGATCTTCGGGCTGGGTTTGGGTGGTCCGGTAGGCAGTCCTTCCCCCGGGGCCAGGCTGTCGCCCCGGCAGGTCCACCCGTGCTGGCCCCGTGTCCGATGATTTCGGGAGCGGCAGAGAGGGGGGTGATCGCTACAGTCGGGGCGCTGAAGAAGGAACCCCTCTCGTTGGGGAGGGGCTCGGTGTTCCTCGATTGCTTCACAGTTTGCCTTGGGTGTTCCTGAGGTTCCCCAGGGGGAATCGAAGTTTAGCTTATGAGAAAAAGGGGCCTCGTTCCTTATTTGGGGTTCCTTAGGTCAACGCCCCGACTGTAGGCATGGATCGGGCGAACGTCCCGCGACAGGGGGGCGCGCGGGGAAGCCGAACCCAAGCGCGCACGCCGCCGCTGTCGCATCGCCGTCGGCGATCGAGGAACCCGGGCGGGCCCGCACAGGAGGTCACTCTGGCGTAGGGCCACTCTTACGCGTGGCCGACCCCTCTGGGCCTCCGCATCCCCAGGGCCTCCGACGATGTGCTTCTGTCGGTCCCCGGCCCCCGCGCCCTGCCTCGATCTTGGCCTCCAGGGCCAGCTATCGGGAGCGGCCAAGAGGGGGGTGTCCAAGAGGGGGGGTGCAAATCATGACCGGCGGCATGTGCGCGGCCCAGCGGGGGGGCCAGGGACGTGAGGAAACAAGAAGAGTCGCCATGGAATCTGGGTAAATCTCGTGGCCCCCGCCACGAGATCCCCCTCCTCCTCCTCCCTCCTCCCTCCTCACTCCTCCCTCCCCTCCCCTCCTTCCTCCTCCTCCTCCTCCCCTCCTCCCCCCCCCTCCCCCTCCCCCCCCCCTCCCCCCCTGGCCATCACTCCCCTCTCTGCCGCCCCCGAAATCATCGGACACGGGGCCAGCACGGGTGGACCTGCCGGGGCGACAGCCTGGCCCCGGGGGAAGGACTGCCTACCGGACCACCCAAACCTAACCCGAAGACCCGAGTTTCGGGTTGGGGAGGAGAAGGAGGAGGAGGAGGAGGAGGAGGAGGAGGAGGAGGGGGAGGAGGAGGAGGAGGAGGAGGAGGAGGAGAGGAGGAGGAGGAGGAGGAGAGGAGGAGGAGGAGGAGTGCAAGAAAGTCGACGAGGAGGAACGCGGGTACGGGTTCCATGTGTTTTCTCGATGTTCCCCGACCCCCCCCCCCACACTGGAAATGGGGGGCAGATTGAGACCTTCGGGCTGGGTTGGTGTGGTTTGGTGGGTGGTGAGGGAAGTGGCCAGGAACCCCCGGGGCCGCGCAGCGAACAGAAAGCCATCGTCGACGTCGGGGCCGCCCTTCGCCCTGCAGCGCTGGAGATCGCCCAGCAGGCCGGCCGCTGCGGCGACGAGGGCGCCCCACGCCCCCCCCCCCCCCCCCCCACACGCACACAAAGACACAGACACAGACACAGACACAGACACAGACACACAGACACACAGACACACAGACACATACACACAGACAATGAGACAATGACACACGACCGCACACAAACAAGCAACTCCACAAACAAACAATTGAAGAAAAAAACAAACAAGCAAACAAACAAACAATACGCACGCGCACACACACAAACACACACACACACACACACACATTCGGCGGTTGCGTCCTCGCGCGCAGCGCCAAGGCGGAGTAAGATCGGAGCCGGTGCGCGCGCGGCTAGGCCCTCAGGCGAGATCGCTGTGGATCCCATGCCCCTGCGCACACGAACAGATGCACACAACACACGGAAAGAAGGCCCAGAAGACGTCGAGGGACGTAGATTCTCGCTCCTCCCAGCCGCGATGACCAAAAGGGGGCTCTGCCTCCTGCGGGGGGGGGGCAACGACCTGGAATTGGCGATACGTCGCCGACACGTCAGCGAGCGGTACTGGGCGGGGCAGGGGGCACAAGCCCCGATGGGCGGTGCGGCGTGCGATCGGCGGTCGAGGCTTCCCGCCGGCTCGCCCTGGGCCAGCCCTGGACCTCCCACGCCGTCATCTTTCCACGACGCCAACTTGCAGAGACCTCGACCCCTGCCCTGGGGCTGGCTCGTCATCCCGTCAAACTCGTCTGCCTGTCCTGGCGCCTGGCGATGGCCACAGAAACCGAACACTGTGCTTAAGTGTGTTCCGTGGACATGTGCGTGAAAGTATGGAAAAAAGCCGTCGTGTTTTTTGTGACGCAAGGAGGCGGGGGAGTCCGCCGCCCCCCTGACATCCGCCGACATGCTGCTTCAATTCGCGTCCCCAACCAGGTCCCGACCACTGACCCAAAGGATAGTTGTTCGCCCCGGTGCCGTTTTTGATGGCCCTGGTGATCAAAAAAGCCCCCCAGGGCCGGCAAAGAGGAAACACCGACGATTCATACAACTCATTTCGTACGGTAGATCTGGACCTGCCGTTGCCTCTGAGATGCCTGGAGCAGGGCGAGTTGAGCCAACGGCAGCTCAAAATCGACCCCCAGACCCTTCCTGGGATCCAACCGCACCAGCTTTCCGAGCTGCGTCCAGCCATGCTGACGAGGGAGGCCCCCGAAGTCCAACTGCTGGTGTCTCGACTGGCCCTGTGTATCGTTGCCCCTGAGACGACCTGGACGCCAGGCGTCACCTGCTCCCAGACCCTGACCCGACACAGCAGGGTGAAGGGCGGCGGTGGCAGCTCAGCATCGAAAGGCACGCTCGTCTCGAAGGAGCCGGCCGACAATCCGCCAGGGAAGCCGCAGACCAGCGGCGGAAGCGAGGCCGCAGTCGCCTCTGGCGGCAAGGCCGCACTGAGCCCCGCCGCCGCCGCTGCCGCCACGGCTGCTCGCCGTCGCCGCCGCCGTCGCTCGGGCGTTTCGTAATGGGAGGGCGATAGTAAGTGGTGTGAGGGGGACAGGAAAGGGGCCCTAAAGTGCCCCTGGGGCCCCGCATGAAAGAAGACCACTGGCGCCTCTCGGCGGCAAGCGCTCTGGGCGATGCCATCTGTTCACGCCGCTTCCGCCTGGTCCTGGGCCCCGGGGGCTGGGGGCCGCGCATCGATATCCGGCTCGAGACATGCTGCCGAAAGCTGGGGTCCAGGGCTCCAGTCGTGACTTTTGGCGAGGCTTCCTTTTTCCGCAACGTCGGACCCCAGGAGATGGCCAGCGCGCATGGCGCGCTGAGGCGCGATTCTCTGCGGCGGGCTCGGAGGCGCCGAGGCATTGGCGCCCGCGGCCTCCCGGGAGCCCTCGCCCGCCCGCCTCGGGGGGGGGGGCTCCCGAGGCCAGCCGCTGCGCTCGAGGGGGTTGTCAAGTGCATGTCGGACGCGGCACGGCCCGTGGAGGAGGGGGGTACGGCAGGCTCGTGTCGTGACGGCCTGCGCGCTGGTTCCTGACAGCGCGTGGATCGCTCGACCTCGAGCGACCGCAGCGACCGCGGCTCCTGGTGGCGCGCGTCGTTCCATGTCGGCTGGTTCCAAGCCGCCGCCGGCGTTCAGCCTTGAACGACGCGGCGGAAATCCACCAGTAAGCTAGGACCAGCATGCCTGCCCATGCAAAGGCCCAGGACTGGAAAGACAGGTGGCCACATGTGCGCATGTGTATCCACTTCTCGCCCAGGCCAACCGCGTCGTGTGTATCGAGAGCCTCAATGATATGAGGCTGAAGATGACGAGAAAGGACGATGAGGAGAAGAGCGACAGGCTCTGCGGCAAGCTGTGGCTCCTCGATGTGGACCAGGAGGAACAACAAATACGTAGCACCCCGCAGGTGCAGATTAGATTGAGGGGGCGGTGGGGACGTCGGCAGTTTGCGAGACTCTGGAGAAGCCCTCCGCAGGCGCCAACCTTTCACAAATTATACAACGAGCCCGCGGCAGGCGCCGATTTTGTTAAACCAATGTGGGTAGGTCGCGGGTGGGTCGCAAATGGGTCGCGGATGGGTCGTGGGTGGGTCGTTGTTCGGTCGCGGGTGTAAAAAAACAGAAAATCCAACCCATAATAATCACCCCGACAAGCGAAGCCGTTTAGAAAGCGCACACAAGGAATGAATCGAACAAGGCAGGGCTGTTTAGTAAACGCCCAGAGCCATTTAGTAAACGTCAATTGTCGGGTCTGGCTGGTTTTTCCTCCCTTGAGGGTGGGTCGCCGGGTGGGTCGCGGATGGGTCGCGGATGGGTCGCGGGGTGGGTCGCGGGGTGGGTCGCGGGGTGGGTCACGGGTAGGTCGCGGGTGGGTCGCGGGTGGGTCGCGGGGTGGGTCGCGGGTGTGTCGCGGGTTCAAAAACACAGGGGATTTGCCACATTTCTGAAATTCGGTGCCACCCCTCACGCAGATCCGCGGGGTCAGTTTCCAAAAACACAGGGGATTTGCCACATTTCTGAAATTCGGTGCCACCCCTCACGCAGATCCGCGGGGTCAGGGTCCAAAAACACATGGGATTTGCCACATTTCTGAAATTCGGTGCCACCCCTCACGCAGATCCGCGGGGTCAGGGTCCAAAAACACAGGGATTTGCCACATTTCTGAAATTCGGTGCCACCCCTCACGCAGATCCGCGGGGTCAGGGTCCAAAAACACAGGGGATTTGCCACATTTCTGAAATTCGGTGCCACCCCTCACGCAGATCCGCGGGGTCAGGGTCCAAAAACACAGGGGATTTGCCACATTTCTGAAATTCGGTGCCACCCTTCACGCACATCCATCGCAAGGCGTGGTAACCCAAACTGCGAGAACTCCCTCGGCCCTTTAATCGCAAGGTGTGGTAACCAAGCCCGTAAACCATACACGTCTTACCAATCGCCAGGTGTGGTAACCCCTCTTGTGATCAGTTGGTTTTGCTGATTGCGAATCGGCTTCGCATGAAGTTTCGATACTGCTTCACGACAGCGCCAAGGCCTCATGACTTAGCTCTTCCATGGCCCATTCTCCGAGAGAGGGGGCCGGCGGCAGGGGGCGAAACCCTTACGGATAATAATGATGATAATAATAATAATGATAATGATAATAATACTAATAATAGTAGTAATAATAGTCGTAGTAGTAATAAACATAATAATACTAATGATGATGATGATGATGATGATGATGATGATGATGATGATGATGATGATGATGATGATGATGATGATGATGATGATGATGATGATGATAACGAGAATGATGATGATGATGATGATGATGATGATGATGATGATGATGATGATGATGATGATGATGATGATGATGATAATACGGAGGAGCGGGAGGATCAACATGAGGCGTCCGAGAGGGTAAATCAGATGGAAAAGGAGACGCCAAAAGGCGAGATGAGACAGGATGGGAAAGCACGGAGGGGGGGATGATAGAAGAGGCATGTGGAGGGCGATGCTGAACACGATTGTGATCCAACCGCACGTTTTCCAGGGCACTTGCGCTCACCCCTCGATTTTTGATTACGCCTGCCCCTGTTCGCGAAAGCGTTTCGCTCAGATTTGTGTTTGGAGCCTTGTGGTTGCGGGGGAGAGAAATAGTTACCATGGCGCCATTGGAACGCTGGGGCCCCTTGCATTCCATGAGCGCTCCTCCACCAGATGGACTTCGAAATGGCACGGCGCACGAAAAAACATTGGTTGGCCTCCTCCCCCCCCCCCCCCTCCCCCGATCTCACTCCGCTCAGAACCGGTCCCTGGACCCCTCCTGGGGTCCGGGCTGGCCCGTCTTCCGAGCCCCGCTCAGCCGTGGCGACGAGAACCCCTCAGACACGCCCCAAAACCTTCAGAACGACGACGACGACGTCCTCGTCCTTCTTATTTTCCTTCTGCCTCTTCCTCATGAGCTTTCCACTCCCCGCGCCCCCTGTCCCCCGTGCTCCCTCCTCCATCCGGTGCCCTCTTCATCGAGCACGTACCTTGCGAAGCCGCGCGTCGCATCGTCAACCTGTTTCCTTGTACTCCCCTGCCTGGTTCCTCCCTCCACTCTGGCTGTCCTACCTCCTCTTCCTCGTCCCCGTCCCCGTCCTCGTCCTCGTCCTCGTCGTTCTCCTCCTCCTCCATCTCACTGCGCTACCTCTTCCAAAACGCTTACTTTCCTCAACTTAATCCTCGCCGTCCTCAATCTTCCCTCTTCCCCTCTGCTATCCGCCTCCTCACGCCTTCTCATCCTCCTTGCCCTTCCATCTTCTCTCAGCACCCTGTCCTATTTCTCATCCTCCTGAGTCTCATCCTCCTTCCTTCGCGTCTCACCACCATCAGTTCCTCTCCTTCTCCTCATACGCGACAGACAGAACGATAGAGAGAGAGAAGGAGAGACAAAAAAAGAGATTAAGACAAAACAATAAAGAGATAAAGAGAAGGATAGAGAGAGGAGGAGGAGGAGGAGGAGGAGGAGGAGGAGGAGGAGGAGGAGGAGGAGGAGGAGGAGGAGGAGGAGGATAGAGGCTTGGAGAGGGACTCGGGCCCGAAATTCGGAGTACCCCACCGTCTCTGTTGGGACATTGTGCGTGAAAAGCTTAGGTCCAGCAAGGTCTCTTTCAAGGACAAGTCCACCATGAGGGTCCTCGCCAGCAACGCCATCTGGACTAGTGTCGCGGCCAGGAGGGCTGGCTACGAGATCCCCTCGGCCTGTGCACTGTGTGGCCAGTACGAGGACACGCTCTGGCACAGGCTTTGGCAATGTCCAGCTTGCGCCGAAGTGCGAGAGCGGCTCGTGCCTGAAGATATCCTTGCTCTCGCGCTGGACTCGGAGTCGGGCGACTATGAACACACTCTATTCGTCCACGGCGCCTTTAAGCACCCTGGAGATGACCTTCCCAAGCCCTCGTCTGACGGTGTTGCGCACGTGGAATGGACGGTGAGCCCCCAGGCCTCCCTGGCCCTGCGAAAACTCACCCTGATCTCGGTCTCTGGGGTCTCGTTTTCCTGGACGGCAGTTGTCTCAAGCATCCTGTGGTTGAGCTTTCCCGTGCTGGTTGGTGCCTGGCCATGACGGATGATAACGCCAAACTGCTGTGTGAAATCACAGCCCCTGTCTGGGCTCCCTACCCTCAGACCCCCCCAGGCGGCCGAGTTTGGGGCGCTTGGGGGTCTTAACTTTTCCTTGGAGGCTGGAGCTGACTGCTTCAGCGACTGCAACAATGTGGTCGACCTTTTCCTCCAGGGCCCAGGCAGATACCTGTCTCCCAGGCTCCAGTATTCAGGGCGTTTAATTCACGGTGCTGCTGGAGCTGGTTCGAGGATCACCAGCCTCACCAAGGTAGATGCTCACAAAGACCTGGACAAATCAGGCATCAGCGCTCGAGAGCGCTTCATACGCCAAGGCAACTATTTTGCTGACTTGGGTGCCAAGCGCGCGGTGAGGTGGCACCCCAGTTTCTGTGCAGGAGATTTGGAACCAGTTGATTTAAAGGTCAAGATCGCCAGGTGTATGATGGACCTTGCTGCTGCCGTGCTGCCTCTCTTTCCTCGGGTGGAGTTTCGGGGGTTGGAGCGGGTTCCTCCTCCTCCTGCTCCTCCTGCTGCTCCAAGGAATCTTCACCAGTGGACCCATATGTCGGGGTTCTGGCGCTGTCGAGTCTGCTTGAAGGGCTCGGCGATCTCCGCCCGTCCTGCTGGGAGTTCGTGCCGAGGTCACAGCAGGCTCGACAGCGTTGTTTTAGATCGGCTCCAGCACCGAGTTCTCGCGCTGGAGGCTAGCGACTATTCGCATATGTTTTTCTGCCTCAGGTGTCGGTCCTACCCCTTTGGCGCCCAGGTGTGTAACTTGGGCAAGGTTTGCAAGCCGCCGACGACCACTGGCAACCGCAATTGGAACAAAATCAGGCAAGGGAAGCACCCCGGTAAAGCGGGCGTGACTCTCGATTTGGACCTGGTCAACTCCTTGTTCCATTGAGATCTTCAGCCTCCTCGAGTGAGATGCCGTTGAGAAGCCGCTGAACCCAAAGCCTCTCACAGTACCTGGTTCCAGAGCTGTGGGAGGTGGCGGGGGAGGCGGCGAGTGCTCTCGGCATGCGGCCATGATTTTGTTGCGGCGCTGCATTCTTAGCCTCCAGTTTGCAGCATGGAGGTGCCGTGGATGGCAAAAAGAGGAGGAGGATGGAAGGAGGAGGAGGAGGAGGAGGAGGAGGAGGAGGAGGAGGAGGAGAGTGAGGAGGACAACGAGGATGAGGAGGGAGAAGGGGGGAGGAGGCAGAAGGGATTTGGGAGAGGAAGGAAGGAAGAAAGGAAGGAAGGAAGAAAGCAAGGAAGGAGGGATGAATAGGAGGGAGCAAGGTTGAAGCAGTGGCGGACCCGGCCGTGGCTGCGAGGAGGCGCCGCAGGAGGCCCCGAAGAGGCCCCAGGACCTCGATCCTCGAACCTTGAACATTAACCAGTGGATCCTCGATCCTTGAACATTAACGAGTGGATCCTCGAACCTCGACCCTCGATCCTCGAACCTCGACCCTTGACCCTCGACCATCGAGCCTCGACTCGCGAACCTCGATCGTTGTACATCTCTCGATCGTCGACCCTCGATCCTCGATCCTCGACGGCGAGCCGCCCACAACCAGGCGCAGGCGCCCGAGCGCCTCTGCGTCCGCGGACGCCGCCGGAGGCCGCGCCGCGGGGGGCCGGAGGCCCGCGGGCGCCGCCGGAGGCGGGGCGGCGGCCTGGCGGCAGCTGGCGTTGTCGCCAGCGCTGTCCGTCGTGGTCGCCCTCCTTCCTCCCTTCGCCTTCCCTCCCTTTGCCTTCCCTCCTCCTCCTCGAACGAGCCACCTCCCTCGGTGACTATAAGCCCTTGTAAGGGGCCCGTGACGAAGGAACTTGGAGAGGGAGGGTTTGGTTTATTACGACATCGTTGATGACTCTTGGGTTCCTCCTCCTCCTCCTCCTCCTCCTCCTCCTCCTCCTCCTCCTCCTCCTCCTCCTCCTCCTCCTCCTCCTCCAGGGGTCGCCGCCAGTCGTCGCCGCCGCCGCGTCGGTGGCTTCCGCAGCTCCCTCTGCACGGACCTTCTGCCCCCTCGGGGCGCGCGCCGTCGCGAGGCCGGCCCCGACCCCCTGGAGTGCTCCTCCCCGCTGGCCTCTGGGGCGGCTCGGGTGCTGCCCTGCCCGTGCGCGAGACGGCTGGGAGCCCACGCGCGAAGGGGGCGTTGGGAGAGGAAGCGTGAGCAAAGACCAGGAAGCACCGAGCCCTCTCGGTCCCACCCCCCTACTTCCCTCCGGCTCCTCTCTCCCATCACTCCCTCCCTCCGCTTCCGCCTCCACAGTGATACATCACGAAAACTACTCTCATCTCACTCCTGACTCCGTCCGGAAGATCATTCGCGGGATCTATCCGCACACCGTTTATTTTCTGCATTGCAGATTTCAAGCTTTTATTTATCTTACGGCTTGTTCCCCATATCCTAAGATGGGGTTCTTGTTATTACTTGGACGCCTCCTACTCCTCCTTCTTCCTCTTCTCCTCCCCTCTCCTCCTCATACCCAGATTTATTCATACACAGACTGACTCACACTCAGACTTACTCAGACACACATATTTACTCACACACAAAATTACTCATACTCAGACCTACTCATACTCAGACCTACTCCTACTCAGACTTGCTCATGGTGAGACTCACGCACGCCCCGTTCGCGGCCGTTTTGTGGGGATGCCTCAAGCGGTTTGCTTGTTTTCTGTCCCAACAGCCTTGGCTACCAGAGCAGATTGTGAGGATGTCTCAGGCGGGGCGCTGGTTCCAGCTCCCACTGAGGGGAGCCGCCAGGGGTTATCTCACGGTCCCGTTCGCGGCCGTGTTGTGGGGATGTCTCAAGCGGTTTGCCTGTTTTCTGTCTCAACATCCTTCGCTTTCGGAGCAGATGTGGAGGATGTCTCGAGCGAGGCGCTCATTTTCACCCCCCTAGGGTGAGCCGCCAGGGGTTATCTCACGGTCCCGTTCGCGGCCGTTTTGTGGGGATGCCTCAAGGGGTTTGCCTGTTTTCTGTCCCAACATCCTTCACTTTCGTAGCAGATTTGGAGGATGTCTCGAGCGAGGCGCTCACTTTCATCCCCTAAAGGGAGCCGCCAAGGGTTATCTCACGGTCCCGTTCGCGGCCGTTTTGTAGGGATGTCTCAAGCGGTTTGCATTTTCTGTCCCAACATCCTTCGCTTTCGGAGCAGATTTGGAGGATGTCTCGAGCGAGGCGCTCATTTTCACGCCCCTAAGGGGAGCCGCCAAGGGTTATCTCACGGTCCCGTTCGCGGCCGTTTTGTGGGGATGTTTCACGCGGTGTGCATGCTTTCTGTTCCAACATCCTTCGCTTTCGGAGCAGATGTGGAGGATGTCTCGAGCGAGGCGCTCATTTTCACCCCCAGGTGGGCCAGACTTTGAGGATGTCTCGATCGGTTTGCCTGTTTTGGTGGCCAGGCTCGTGGGGGCAGATTCTTTTCAGGATGCCACAGGAGGCTCCAACATGCTCCAGGAGGCCCCAGAGACAACATGAGGTCGCAGGAGGCATCAGGAGGCCACATAAAGACTCAAGAGGCCACAGGATGTCCCAAGAGGCTCCATGAGGCCCCAGGAAGCTCCAGAAGGCTTCAGGAAGCCACAAGAGGCCCAGGAAGCCACAGGAAGCGCCAGGAGGCCTCGGAAAGCAACAGGAGGCCCCGAGAGGCCCCAGGAGCAGGAGGCCTCAGACGGCAACAGGAGTGGCTCCAATCCCATGTGTTTTATGTGTGTTCTTATCGATTGGGCCTCACCTGGAGCACGATTCCTTGATGTCACACGTATGTTTTATATATGTTGTCCCTCTCCTGTGTACACAATCCTACATGTTTTACTTATGTTCCTGTATATTGGGCCTCTCCTGGGGCACGAGTCCGTGGTGTTTTACATATGTTCCTATAGATTGCCCTTCTCCTGTGGCTCTGATCCGTAATTTTTTATGTCTGTATGTTGCTTTAGATTGGGCATCTCCTGGGGCACGAAGCCTCCCTAGGAGGTCCCAGGAGGCCCCAAGAGGCTCCTGGAGACCCCAGGAAGCCCCAGGAGGTTCCAGGAGGCCCCAGGAGGCCTCAGGCTCATGCGCAGAGACGCGCTCGTACTACTGAGGCTCATTCGCACTCCAATTCATTCGCAATTGAATTCATGTCCAGACCGTCACAACTGAAGCCCGATTTTATTCGAAAGCTCTTGCGCCCAGACATTCACGGCGGACAGGTCCATGCGAATAGATGCACATAGGGGGAGCTCCACGCAGTGAACAACTATACAGTCCGATTGTTTCAAACTACTGTTCCCGCTGGAGCGCGAGCCTCATTTTCGGATCGGCGCTTCCAATCGTCTCAGCATGGCGCGCGCGCGCTCCAGCGCGGGACACTTCCTGGATCCCTTTTCCATCGATGTCGTCCCCCTCAGATCCCCTCCTCTGAGTTCCCCTGGTCCTGCTGCTGCTCCGCTTCTGCAACTCCAGCTCCTGCTGCTGCTGTTCGCCATCGTCCTCGTCCTTCCCCATCCTCATCCTTTTCCTCCTGCTCATCCTCCACCGTCTGCTCCAGTGTACGCAGCTTCGAGCTTCTGTTGCGCATAACACGATGAGGTCACGTTTGGAGTTCCAGGTCTGCTATAACACGCGTCGGCGGATGGAGAAAAAACGGCGCAGTGGGAAAGGATGGGCGGGAGGAGTAGGATGTCAGATATGGCATGAGCGCACGTAGCTTGTCCCTTCCCTCTCTCCCTCGTCCTCCTCCTCTTCCTCCTCATCCTTCCTCCTCCTCGTCCCCTTCCTCCTCCTCCTCCTCCGCCTTCTCCTCCTCCTCCTCCTCCTCCTCCTCCACATCCCCTCCCTCCCCCTCCTCCCTCCTCCTCCTCCTCCTCATCCTTCCTCCTCCTCGCCGCTTCCTCTCCTCCTCCTCCTCCTCCTCCTCCTCCTCCTCCTCTCCTCCTCCAGATCCCCCTCCTCCTCCACATCCCCCTCCTCTCCTCCTCCTCCTCATCCTTCCTCCTCCTCCCCTCCCCCTTCCTCCTCCTCTCCTCCTCCTCCTCCTCCCTCCTCCTCCTCCTCCTCCTCCTCCTCCCTCCACATCCCCTCCTCCCTCCTCTCCTCCTCCTTCTCCTTCCTCCTCCTCGTCCCTCCCTCCTCCTCCTCCTCCTTCTCCTCTTCCTCCTCCTGCTCCTCCTCCCTCTCCCTCCTCCTCGCATTCCTCCTCGCATCCTCGCATCCTCGCATCCTCCTTCCTCCTCCTCCTCCTCCTCCTCCTCCTCCTCCTCCTCCTCCTCCTCCTCCCTCCGATGGGCGGGAGGAGTATAATGTCAGATATGGCATGAGCGCACGTAGCTTGTCCCTACCCTCTCTCCCTCGTCCTCCTCCTCTTCCCCCGGCTCCCCCTCTCTCTTCCTCTCGGCCTCTTAGTTCTCCGAGCGTGGCCACTCCCCCCTCCAGGGCCAGTCGGCCCTGGGGGGCATGATCAAACAAGCTTCCTCGCGACCTGTGGCTGTGGCACGAGAAAATCTGTAGAGGTGAATGAGAGAAATGACGAGGGAGGAAGGGGTGGGGAGGCGAGGGGATGGAAGATCGGCTCCCCCTCCCTCCTCCCCCTCCCTCCTCCTCCTCCTCCTCCTCCTCCTCCTCCTCCTCCTCCTCCTCCTCCTCCTCCTCCTCGCCTGGTTGCTCGGGGTGTCGCCAGCGCTCCGCGGGTGCCCCCGGCGGCCGACGACTTCGGAGGAGGGCGCGCGGGATGCGGCTGGGCTTTCGGTCGGGCACGTCCTCCCACGAGCAGAGTCTGGAAGAAGAATAGGAAACAGTCAAGACATAGGAGCGCGTTTCTTTATGTTCGGCGATGACGGGCGTCATGGGGGGGGGGGGGGCGGAGGGGGGTATGACATGACGCCCCCCCCCGCCGTGTGGTTCCGGCACCACAGCGGCACTGGGGGGGGAGCGTTACGTCATAGGGGGGGGGAGCGGGGGCCATGACGCCCGTCATGCCCCAAACAATAAAAAAAAACGGGCTCTAGTCAAATATAGTCGGGAGAACACGAAACATCGTCACCATACAGTTGGACTTGATTGGAGAGGACACGCGAGAGGACACAGGACCCTTCTGAGAGCCACACCGCCGAGGGAAAGCAGGAGGCACGGGTCGCGAGACACAGGACACAAAATACCCTTGATTTGGCAGGGTCGACCTACTAATCCGGGCCGACTGTAGTCGGGAGAGCACGAAACATCGTCACCATACGATTGTCCTACTACTCAGGAATGTTCCTCCTGCGGAAGGGGCGTGCCCGACGTAAGGCTGGGCTCGCCTCTCCCCCCCCCCGCCACGACCCGACGGTCCATGTCGCCTCCCCCCTCCTCCGGGCCGTGGCCCGGGGGCGAAAATGCCGCCCCTGCAGAGCTCTGGGCGGGGGATGCTGAGCCCGCTGAGGCCAGCCCTGGACGCCTTCTTGGGGCTGTCGCTCTTCGAGTCGGGCATCGACTACAGAACTGATCCACCCCCAAGTATGACTTTCTCGTCGAGCCCACAAAACATACATGGAACGATCTACGGGCAGTCTACGAATTCTCGAGGATTCGACGAGAAAATCAATTTTCGGGTAAACCAACTCCGTAGTCGATCCCCTACTCGATTTCCGTGCGCAATCCCAACCCTCGCCACCCTCGATTGTCCACCGAGGCCCCCCACGCCTGGTCGGATATTTCTGGCCATGGGCCCCCGACCCAGACCTGTCGACCCTTTTTGCGGGGCCAGCTGTCCATGCAGCGCATTTTGTTGTGATTATCCTGGATCGGCAAACTTTTCATGCTGTCGTTCTTGACGGTCCACCAGGGCTCATCAACAGCCCCAACAGAAGCCCAAAATAAGAAAACTCCGCCTTGCCCTTGCAAAGACACTGAAGGCCTGGGTCCTCCTCGATCCTCCTCTGAGCCCCATCCCAGGTGCCGACGACGACCACGACGACGACAACGACCTCATCGGCGTCGTCGGCGCCGTCGGATACCACGACGACGCCGACGACGACGCCGTTGTCTGCGCCCCCAGCGTGAGCAGTCGGCGGCGCGGCGCCGCGGCGCCGCCGCGCACTGGGCGGCCCTCGCCTTGGACACGCCGCCCGCGGGGCCTGCGCCGCCCTGCGCCCTGGCGAAGGCCGAGGCCCGAGGCCGGAGCTCCGGCGGCCGCGAGGCCCCGGGCGCCGCGGCGCGCGGCGGCGGGCCGGCCTCTGGGCGGAGGCGGCGGCGCCGACACGGCGCCGCCGCCTCTGGCCCCGATGACGGCGCCTAGGGGGCCTCATGCGAGCCCTACCCCCTGCCCCCCACGACTTCTGAGGGGGGGATGGTGAGGTTCGCTTCGCCCGATGCACGCCCGAACGAAGTGAACCCCACCCTCCCCCTCAGAAATCGTGGGGGGTAGGGGTAGGGTTCGCATGAGGCCCCCTAGACGCAGAGACCGCCGTCGCCGCCTACGGCGACGACGCCGACGGTCGGCACCGTCGTCGTCGGCGGCGTCGGCGGCGCCGTCGTGGGCGTCGTCGTGGGCGTCGTCGTTGGCGCCATCCGAGGATCGAGGATTCGGGAGTTTCCATAAAAATGCTCCTGACCGAAGGTCTCGCCAACTTTTCCGCGCTATTCGGGAGCCCCAGGGGCCCTCTGCGCCTCGCGAGGGGTGTTCTGGAGGCCGTTGGGGCCTCGGCCTCGGCATTGCCGTCGTCGGCGTTTTCGTCGGCACCATCGTCCAATCGGCGTTTTCGTCGGCACCGTAGTCCAAGGACGCAGGCATCAGGTGGCTCGAAAACAGTAGAGACCGATGTGTTTCGACAGATTGGGCCCTTTACGGATGGATGGACAGGCCTTTTCCAAAACGTGGGTCTCGCCTTATCGCCGCGCACATTTCGCTGTAAACGTCCACCAACTACCTGGATGGACGGCATGTGGTTCTCGAAATGTGGCTCTCGCCTTAGAGCCGCGAACATTCGTCTGTCAGGTCCCAACTAAATATGGTCGCAAGCGTGAGCATGTAGGTACAACAGCCACGGGTTCGGATTGAGGTTCCTTCTCGAGAAGGGGGCCCGAGAACTCCACGACAATACGGCCAGTAGCGTCGCTCACCTTTGACACGGATGTGGGGCTGCTCACTTTCACAACGGGGAGCTCGCCCGAAAGGTATGCACATGGAGCGCTCGTCTCTCAAGCGGGCGCTTCCCTCCCGCACTTGGTGAGGAGGAAAGCCTGCAGAAACTGAGGGAGAGACTTGGGACGGGAGGGCGTACTGCAGCATCGTTGACGCATCCTGGGGTTACCCTGATCCTCCTCCTCCTCCTCCTCCTCCTCCTCCTCCTCTTCCTTCACCCCACCGTTCGGGGGTGGGGGGGCTGGCCGGAAGTAAGCTTTAGGGTGAGCAAGCGGTGGGAGGAATCAGTACGATTTGAAGCCAACCTACGAAACTGCCTACATCCTGATAGGGTGTTCGAACATATCCAGCCGTGGCGACGCGAGCCACCAGAAGCGCCCAAAAAAATCCGAATCGACTCCGACGTCGTCGTTGACGTCGTCGTCGTTGCTCATCCAACCTCGATTTCGCCCTCCTCCCTCCCCGTCTTCCGCCGCTCCCGCCAAGCCCGAGAGGAGGATAAGACAATGAGGATGGTGGGGAGGGAAGAAGAGGAAGATGAGAACGGGGAGGAGGAGGAAGGGAACAGATATGGCAAAAGAGGGGTAACATTAATACTGGCAAACAAAGGGATACATATACAGCGGATGAGACGAAGAAGGAAGAGAGCGAGAAAGGAGGAGAGGCAAGAGAGGAGAAGAAGGAGGACGAGGAGGAGGAGGAGGAGGAAGGGGAAGAGGAGGAGGAGGAGGAGGAGGAGGAGGAGAAGGAGGAGGAGGAGGCGGAGGGAGGAGGAGGGGAGGAGGAGGAGAGGAGGAGAGGAGAGGAGGAGGAGAGGATGGAGGCGGAGAGGAGAGGGAGGAGGAGGAGGAGGAAGTAGGGGAGGGAGGAGAGGAGGGAGGAGGAGGAGAGGAGGGGGGGGGGGGAAGCGAGTGAGGCGAGGTGCAGGCTCTCGCCCTCGCCCCCCTCCGCGCCCCACCACCCCTCATGGGGTAAAACCCCATGCCAGCTCTTCGGGCTGCGCCTGGCCTGGACGACGACTCGGATGTCTCTCCTGCGTCGTTCTGCACGTGAGTCGTCGTCCAGGCCGGCGCAGCCCGAAGAGCTGGCATGGGGTTTTACCCCATGAGGGGTGGTGGGGCGCGGCGGGGGGCGAGGGCGAGAGCCTGCACCTCGCCTCACTCGCTTCCTCCCCCTCCTCCTCCTCCTCCTCCTCCTCCTCGCCCCCTTCCTGCTCCTCCTCCTCCTCCTCCTCCTCCTCCTCCTCCTCCTCCTCCTCCTCCTCCTCCTCCTCCTCCTCCTCCTCCTCCTCCTCCTCCCTCCTCCCTCTCCCTCCTCCCTCCTCCTCCCTCCTCCCTCCTCCCTCCTCCCTCCTCCTCCTCTTCATCCTCTCCCCTCCTCCCCCTCCCTCCTCCCTCCTCCCTCCTCCCTCCTCCCTCCTCCCTCTTCCCCTCCCCTCCTCCTCCTCTCCTCCTCGTCCTCCTCCTCCTCCTCCTCCTCCTCCTCCTCCTTTTCCTCATCATCATCATCATCGTCAGCGTCATCATCATCATCATCATCATCATCATCATCATCATCATCATCATCATCATCATCAGCAGCAGCAGCAGCAGCAGCAGCAGCATGAGCATCATCATCACCACCAGCATCATCATCAACACCATCACCATCACCATCATCAGCATCTTAATCACCGTCATCCTCACACCATCGCCATCATCATCACCATACTCATAATCTTAAGCATCATCGCCATGGTCGTCATCATCACCATCACCATCAGCATCAACGTCATCATCGTCATCACCGTCATCATCATCACCAACATGATTATGCATCCCTTTTCCTTGTAAACAGCTCCCCCTCAGTCGCACCACAGTGCGTGTCCGTAGGACGGGCTGGGCGCTCCGTCTGGGACTTTCTCACACTGAGCTGCCCGAAACTTGAACCGCCCAGACTTAACATCTACACGAATGGAGGATGAGGAGGAGGAGAAGGAGAAGGAGGAGGAGGAAGAGGAGGAGGATGCTCCCTTTTTCCAGCTCAGGCAGGCCAGGTGGCGAGGCTTCGAGACGCTGCAGGCGCAAGAGGCTGCCGCCAGGGGATCTCCGATCCGCGGGCGGCCACGGACATCAACTGAAATTTCGGACTCATGCAGAAAAGGAGGGAAAGCCAGGGGGGGAGGGAAGGAGCTTGAGCGAAACGTCAACGGAAGATCGCAGACGGGCGGCCAGCAACGCTTCCCAAGGAGCAACCCTGTTCAGAGAACGATTTATGCTCTCTTTTTCCAGCTCAGGCAGGCCAGGTGGCGAGGCTTCGAGACGCTGCAGGCGCAAGAGGCTGCCGCCAGGGGATCTCCGATCCGCGGGCGGCCACGGACATCAACTGAAATTTCGGACTCATGCAAAATGCTGCAAAATGCACAGCTGAACTGGCTACGCGGAGAATGCATCAATTATTATTCACGAGTCGGAAAGCGCTCGAGCAGCACGGCCAACCAGAGCGGAGAATTGCCCAGCCCGGGACCTGGCCTTCTCGTCTGCGTACGCTCTGGCGAGGATGTCGCAGAGCTTCCGAGGATATGCTTCCGCCAACTTGGTGCGGAACCTGCCCGACGCGTCTTTCCCGGACAGCTCCTGATGCTTCTGCCCTGTGAGGACACAGACGGGCCCCACGCACCTGAACTTGGCCAAGGGCGCCAGGTCGAGGAGAAACGCTACGATCTTGGTGCTCTTCCTCCAGGGCGCCCCGAACCGGCAGTACTCGATCACCTGGGACGTGACCTGCCGGCGTTGGAGCAGGGACAGCATCGGCGGCAGCTGCCACGCGTAGCTCAGCGCGGGGTTCTCGAGGGACCAGGGGACGAAACACTGGCAGCACAGCACGCAGAAGGATATCGTGAGCCGCGCGTACAAGTTGCCCCACTTCACTTTCTGGAAGTCGGCGCCCCCGACGGGGAGACTGGGCAGGCCCCAGACGTGCTCCTGGGACCGGAGCCGCGGGGGGCCGTTGGGGTGGTCTCGTGCCCGCGAGAACGTCTCGCAGGGAAAGCCAGCATGCAGGCCGCAGACGAGCCCCGCCCGTATCCAGCCCCGAATGAGGCGGGCGTTCCTGGGGTCGCGCAGGTCGTAGGCGGGGCCGTACAAGATGTCCCAACGCAAGGTGGGGACGTTTCCCCGTTCCACGGCGTCGGACAGGTGGCCCGAGCCCGCGAACAACTCGAGGAACACGGCGATGGTCGGCGCCCTCAGCGGCCCAAAGATGGCATCCGCCTCCCCCGCAGCACGTCGGGGAGCTCCCGAGCGGCCGCCGCGGCCGCCCGCTGCACGTCGGGCGGCAGGCGGCGCAGGAGGTCGGCCAGTCGCCCCCCGTGCTCGTAGCGACGGAGGCTCCGAGCGGACCGCCACCGCCCGCGGCGCTGGATCTCCTCCAGCCGCCGGGCGCCGGTCGCGAAGTCGACGCTCGCCCCCGTGTGCCGGAAGCGGTAGGCGTCGAGCGGCCCGAGGGGCCCCAGGCGCCAGGCTGCCGCGGCCTCGTCCAGGGCCCGGCGCAGGGCGCTGGGCGACAGATCCAGCAAGGGCCCCTCGCTGCGCTCCAGCCCCAGCTGCACCAGGGCGTCCGCGAGCGCCGCCTGCCGGTCGAGGTCGAGGACGATCGTCTGGTCGAACTCCTGGCTTTTGGACGGGGTCCGCATCTCGAACGGGTGGAGCAGGACCGACGTGGGGGTCCACTCGCGGGCTCCGCTGAGCCCCGTAGCAGGAATGGCTCTCCCGGGCGCAAGTACAGTTCCATCATCATGAGGATCGCCAGCGCGTGGGGTCTCAGCCCCTGGCAGATCATCCAGCACGCCAGCAGCGCCACCACGTCGTAGGGCAGGGGCAGGCGGCCCCCCGCCGGGGCAGCACGGCGCCAGCCTCGCAGGCACTGCCGGCAGATGGGCATCCGCCCGCCCCCCAGCCTGCCGAGGCGGGGCTCGGCCCACTGCACCGACGCCAGGAGCTTCTCGCCCGCGCTCAACGAGCCGCCCTCCATGAACATGATCTCCATCAAGCCCGCGGTGGCGTTGTCCCACTCCTCCTCGGTGATCGGGTGGTCCCCGCGGGAGTTGCAGAACCTGCGCAGGGCGGCCAGGTAGAGAGAGTACTGGGCCTGCGTCTTCGCCGACACCGAGGCCCTCCGGAGCAAACTCATCTGGGCCTCTGGGGCCCGCGCCGCAGCCAGCCCGGCAGCGCGCCCCGCCCGCGCCCGCGCCGCTGCCGCCCGCGGGCCCCCAGCTTCCAGGGGGGCCAAGGCCGGGCGGGAGGCCGACCCCGAGCTGGGCAGCGGCGGCAGGCGGCCCGCGGGGGTCCTCGACCTGTCGGACCTGCCGCGCGCCAGCATCGCGGCCCTCGTCGGCGGCGGCCGCGAGCTCGCGCCGCAGGCCGGCAAGCGGGTCGCTCGGCGCCGGACGGCCGCGCGACGGCCCGTCCGCAGGGTTGAGCTCCGACGCGATCCAGCGCGACCGCAGGAGGCTGCCGGTCCCCAACAGCAGGGCGCCCAGTCGGCGAGTCACCGAGAGCACGCCATCGGAGGAGGACCGCCCCTTCGTGGCGGCCAGGGAGGCGGAGATCGAGTCCCCTATCACGAGCAGCCTCGAGCCCAAGTTGGCGACGGACCTCAGGAGGTGGCGAACCCCGTACAAAAGCGCCTCCGCTTCCAGGGCCGGCATAGACGTCGAGGGCCGTTTCCACCTCTGCCTCCCGCACACCCTCCAGGGGGCCCTCAAGAGGTCCAAGGGGACGTCCTCGAACGGCTTCCGGTGCCGGCGGTCGAACTCGCTTTCGGGTCGGTCGTGTCGAGACTGGGGCCGCACGAGCTCCATCAGGATCCGCCTGTCGGCCTCCCCTTCACCCCCGTGCAGCTGCGCAGCGGCCGCGGCGAAAGCGCGCTCACGGGGTGGCCGCCCCTCCCGGGCCGCCTCCCGAGCCCCAGCACGCTCCGAGTGACGGCAGGCCTCCTTGACCAGGGCCACCGGCGGTCGTCCCCGAACGGCCCCAAGGCCCCACGGCGACGCGTCCACCACGACGACGTCCGGACAGGTACCCGCTGAAGTGTTGACCCAGATGAGCGGGGCGATACGGTCCCAGATGTCGAGCTCCTTTCGTGCTGAGGCCCAGAGGGCCCGAGGCCCCCGGGCTGGGCATCTCCGCGCGGCCTCACAGAACCTGTAACAATATTTGAAGACGCTGAGCGACTCTCGCCTACACAGGCCGATGAAGCACAGATGGCCCAGGAGGCGCTCCAAGTCCCCTCCAGAGACCGAGGCCCGCGCCAAAAGACCCCGAATGGCGAGACGAGCCTTCCAGACGCGCTCGGGGGTCGGGCGGAAGGTGCGCCGAAGGCAATCGATTTCCCACCCCAGCACGACGGCCCGATCACATGAGACAGACTCTTTATGCAGAGGCAGCCCGCGAGACTCGAGGGCACGAGACACTCCTGCCAAGCGCTCGCGGACAACCGCTTCGCTCGTCGAAATCACAACATAGTTATCAACGCACTGCGCGTGAGGGGAGGAGGCGAGGGGAGGCGGAGGGGAGCCGTCCGCGAGCCGGGCAGCAGCAGGGGATCCTCCCTCCTCGGCCGCCCGCTCGTGGATCGCCTGGCACCACCAGAGGGCCCAGGACCAGCCCATGGGCAGGGCTCGCATCCGAGGGGTGACCCAGGTCCCCGGGGACACCCGGACTCCCTGGACGTGAGAGATGCCCGCCCACGAGGCCCGAATTTTACGCAGCCCGAAAAACTGGCGGAGCCCCTCCGGGAGCTCCATGTGATAGAAAGCGTCTTTTATATCGACCTGGCCGATAAACACGGGCTGACCGAAAGATTCGTCGTCATGCACCTGGGCGAGGGTATCGCCAGACACTAAGCTGACAGGGGCGGGCGGCTCGAAATGCTGATTAGACCGTCGACAGTCGACGACCAGGCGCTGCTTGCCGCCCCCCTTCTTTACAAAGAAGCAATCCACCACCTCGGTAGCTCGCTCGAGCGTCAACTCAACTACGCCAGCCTCGACCAATCGCTGAATGAATTCGCCGTGCAGAGAGGGGGAGTGGAGGCGAGGGTCACCGTAGGGCCGAAGGGGGCCCGAGTCCTTTAATTTCGTTCGAGCCACGTCGATGGGCAAAACTTGCGACTCAACAAAGCGTGCAACAGTGCTTTCCCCGCCGGATCCCCAGAGCCGAGCGAGCGGAGTCGGGACAGACCCAGCTGCCGGGAGGGACACGCGGGAGGCTTCATAGCCCACGGGGCCCCCCCCTGCGTCGTAGGGGAGGCCGAGGCGCAGCGCCTGGAGGGCTGCCGCCTGCGAAAGATCATCCGGGGGAGGCCCCAGGAAAGAGACAGAGGATTCAACGTGCTCGAGCATATGCTGCTGCCCGAGGCTCAGATCAGCAGGTACAGGTACCCCATCACGGCGGCCGTATATCATGTTGAGACCCTCCAAGCACCGAAGAACGTCGGCGTGACGACGCTGCCGACGGCCGACTCTCTGCCGGCAACCTCGCGAGAGCCCAGGTGCAGGTGGCCCCGACGAGGTGAGCAGCTCCGTGGAAAGGCAGCAGATCCCTTCCCAAGTTCCTGCCAAAATCTCCCGGCGGCGCGACGGCGTGCCGAGCATCCCCAGTCATGTTGGGATCCCCCCCACCAGACCTGAGGGACGTCTGGGGGGGGCGGTCGAGCATCGCCCCTGGCCCTGCCCCTGGCCCTGCCTCCGCCGGCCCAGCGACTCCCGGGCCTCGCGCGCCTTCAGGAGGCTCTTGGCCAGCGAGGCGTCGCGCTCCAGCTTCTGCTTGGCGCTCTCGAGGAGCGCGGGCGACACCATGAGCCTCGACTCGGCCCGGGCGGTGGCGCCGAAGGCGGCCTGCTCGTCGGCGGTGAGCCTCCCCGCGGAAGAGCCCGCCGTCCTCTCGCGCAACTTGTCGCTGTAGCAGTACTCGATCGTCTGGAGCCGGCGGAACATCATCTCCACCGACAGGATGTTGGACGCGTCCACCTGATCGTGCTGGAGCAACGCCTTCAGGTAGCTGATCACACTGGCGTACTCCTCCATGCCCCACTGGGTGTCCTGGAGGCCGCACAGCTTCTTGAAGTGCTCGAAGTGGGACTCGAGAGAGCGCCCCTCGCCCGCAGGTGCTCGAGGCACCACATGGTCGTCCTCGGCGCGATGAAGTCGGGGAGGTGCTCCTGGCGGCAGCTCTCCACGAGGTTCTCGAGCGTCCGGAAGGGCCTGCCCGCGCGATCGAGGCGGACCGGCAGCAGGCGGCAGTCGGGCGCCACCGCCCGGTCGGCGAAGTCCGACTCGTCACCGATGGCCACCCACTCGACGAAGAGAGACGACCCGTCTGCGAGCAGGACGACTCCGCGGGCGGGAGTGCCCGCCCCAGCGAAGCCCGCTGGAGGGGTGATCACATCGCCGTAGTGGTACCCCCTCCACTCCTGGGCGACGCGCCAGTTCCCCACAGGGGCGGGGGCGGCGTCGCCAGCGCCTCCCGCCAGCACCAGGGGTCGGGCCGCCCCGACTACGGCCGCTGCGAGCGCTGCTCCCGCGGGCGCCGGCGCACCGCCCGCCTCCCCGCCGCCCGCGGCCGGCGCAGCCGCCGCGGCCGCACCTCCTCGGCGCATCACCCCGCCCGGCAGGGGCGCGGGTGCCGGGGCGACGGGCGCCGCGGCGGGCGGCGGGCCCCCCGCTGGCACCACGACCCATCCTCCGCCCGGCGGCCCGGCGGCGGGGGCCCCCGCGGGAGGGGCGGGCCCGGCGGCGGCAGCCGGCGCCCCCGGCGCAGCCCAGGGCCACGCCTCGAAGACGGGCGCCGGCACGGCCACGCCCGGGTGGCGCCGAGCAAAGCAGCGCCGAGCCTCGGCCTGGGCGTCGGGGAGCCAGGCCGCCACCTCCGCCGCGGTCGGGGGGCTCGCGAAGCGGTAGGCCCGCACGACGCCCGGTGGCCTGGGGGCCAGGGCGGGCGCCCACCTCACCGCGCTGATGTCGGCCGACGTCCCGTCCACCACCTCGCACTGCACCTGGTGGTCCGGCGATGCCAAGATCGCGTCACTCGGACAGGACACCACCCGCCCCAAGTTCCAGCGCTGGTGCCACAGGGGCGCCCCCGGGACTGCATACAGGAGGTACGCCACCTGGTCCACTCCGTCCAGCGCGGGCACGGCGCCGGCGGCAGCAGCAGCCATCGCTCCACCTCCCAAGGTCGCCGAGCGCAATGCCGATCACGAGCGACGCCACGGTCGTCCCCCAGGCCGCTGCCACCGTCGGGGCCGCGGGCGCCGCGGGGGGGCGAGCCCGCTCCTGCAGCGGGCACTGAGGAGCCGGCGCCCCTGGGCAGGCCGGGCAGGGCGGCACCGCGGGGCAGGCGCAATGGCAGTCCGGGCACTCCAGCGCCGGGCACGGCGGCGGCGGGGGTGCCCGACTCAACCAGGAGGCCACGCCGTGCGATAGCTGGGTGAGGGCTCCGACCGCCCACGGAGGCACCATGCCCCCGTGGGGAAAAGCTTGAGCGAAACGTCAACGGAAGATCGCAGACGGGCGGCCAGCAACGCTTCCCAAGGAGCAACCCTGTTCAGAGAACGATTTAGGAGGAGGAGGAGGAGGAGGAGGAGGAGGAGGAGGAGGGGGAGGAGGAGGAGGAGGAATGAGGAGGAGGAGAGGAGGAGGAGATACGAAGGGGGAGGAGGAGGAAGAGGAGGAGGAGAAGGAGGAGGAGGAGGAGGAGGGAAGGGAGGAGAAGGAGGAGGAGGAGGAGGAGCAGGAGGAGGGATGAGAGGAGGAGGATGAGGATGAGGAGGAGGAGGAGGAAGCGGGGGAGGAGGGACGAGGAGGAGAACGAGGAGGAGGAGGACGGGAAGGAGGAGGAGCAGGAGGAGGAGGAGGAGCAGGAGGAGGAGGGAGGATAAAAGGAAGAGGATGAGGATGAGGAGAAGGGAGGGGAAGGTCAGGCTAGGTCAGGTAGCTCCTGGAAGTCTACTCCATAACGCCAGCCGCGCCACTCGGAGACTTCTGAACGTCGTCTTCGCGACAGTCATTCTCGGTATGAACCGCTACGGAGCCCAGATGGCCTCTCGAGCGAAGCTCGCGCTGCCCCTTCAAGGCGATCCGCCGTTTAGGCGCGCAGCCTTGGCGGGTACCCCTTGGGGACCAGCGCTCACTGTGCAGCATTCTCCGTTCCCCCAGCCCCCCCGCCCCCAGTCCCTCTATCGGTGGGGCCAACGCCCCGCCCTCGCCAGCGAGCTGTGCCACTGGCGAGTCCTCTACCTCTCGCGCTAGCAGGTAACTCTTCACTACCACTACTCTTGCCACGACCCTTCTTACCTCGACCCTGAGAGCGAGCAGCAGGCGTGAGATGAACGATGAGGACAGCATGAAGAGAGGGAGAGGCGTAGGATGGGAGACGATTGGGCTGCAACGCGCTCTCTGGCACTGCGCCTCTACTCACTAGCTCAACAAGTCTCCTGCTCGGGAAATCTCCGGCCCTTCACTTCTGCATTTCTCCCACGAGCCTGCTAACCTCTCTCTCTCCAATGGCCCCCTTGGCGCTGGACCCGTGATGCGAGTCACTCCCCTCTTCGCCATCATCCACTGCAGCACGGCCGTCCGCATTTCTCCGATCACCTGATGATTGAGCGCCAGAGCTGTGTGCATGATCCCCTCGGCCTTCGGCGCGTCCTTCCTGGCTCTCTTGTACCTGAAATGCAGCACATGCTCGCCCATCTTGGTCGGCGTGCTCGCGTGCACGAAGGTCGCCCAGTAGGTCTTCAGGGCCGATAGCACCTTGCTGTCCGACTCCGCCGCACCCTCCTTCGTCTGGTCCATGATGTGGTTGATCAGAGTCACGAAGGTCGTGATGTACGGGGGCCCGCGCTTTTTGGTTTCCACCTGCTCTCCGTTTTTTGTCGTTGACGCAGCTCGCCTGGGACCGAGTTGTAGTCGTCGCCCGCCTGCTTGAGAATGCTTCCGATGGAGTCCACTGCCTCTTCTGGCACCACGTAGCTCTGGTAAGTGGCGCACTCCAGCGCCGCGATCTGGCGGGCCCCAGATAGCACCAGCTTCGCCAGCGTCAGCACGGACACTGAAGTCGTCCGTGTCCTTGCCCTTGGCCTTCGCCACGGGGCCCTTGTTGCCATTGCCGCCACCCTTCTCGCTGCCCTTGGCGCGCTTGGCCTCCGATGCTTGGCCCTCCGATGGGCGCTTCATCCAGCTGGGCATGCCCATGCCCGCCATCCTGCACAGCACGGCCCTCTCGGGCTCCACCGGTGAGGCGGGCAGCAACACGAAAATATGATGTAGGTGAAAGCTTCTGAACTCTCCACGGGCGATGAGCCGATATACATGGCTACAGTAGCCGACGCATGTCGCCCCTTCATAGGAACACAATTTGCAAGCAAAGCCCGATGGCTCAATCATCGGTGTGATCAACCTGGGCTCCCAACGTCCACAATACCCCCTTTGGATAGCGGCCTGTAGGTGCCTCGCCGCCGTCGTCTGTGATCGAAAGATTTTCCCATATAGAGGACAGTGGATCATTTTTACTAGTACGTGGCTAAGATTACGGACGTGGTGTTGATGACGCATATGTTCCATGAGCCCTTTCTGTGTGGTAAAGGCCTGCTTGCACTCCTGCCCGTCCTCCCCCACCACCGTACACCGATACGGGAACTCGATCACCTCCTCCTCCTCCAAACCCGTCTCTATGATCACGTCCGAGTCGAGGCCTGGGGGGGGAATCGTGTAGGTCTGCGAAAAGTTACGAACTCATCGAAAATCGATACGTGCAACATCTCGTCGTACCCCCTCACCCTCTAGCAACAGCCGTGGAAGTTGGACCAGGCGGGATAGGAGTTCTGCCTCATCGGGATAA